CTTAGTTTTGTTGTCCGTGCATAAGGTCTGGCCTTGGTGAATGTTCCAATCTGACCATTTAAAAGAATGATACTCTGCCTTGTTAAATGGAGTGTTCTATAAATAAAATGTCAGTTGAGTCAAGATAGTTGATAGATTTGTTCGAGTCTTATATATCCTAATGATTTTCTGCCTCCTTGTTCTACTGTTCACTGAGAGGAGTGTTGAAGTCTCTAACTAGAATTGTGGATTTGTTTGTTTATGCTTTCCATCTTGTCAGTTTTTGATCATATATTTTGAAGCTCTGTTATTAGGTTAGTATATATTTAGGATTGTTATTATCTTTTGATTAATTTAACCCTTTATTACTTTGAAATGTCCTTCTTTGTCCCTAGTGATGTCCCTTGTTTTGAAATCTCCTTCGTCTGCTAGTAATAAAAGCTTCTCTAGCTTTTTTCATAAGTGAAACCACTGGAGGGGGGAAAGAGGTGTAACTAATAGTAGAAATAAAATGGAATCCTAAAAAGAATACTTAATCCAAAAGAAAGGCAGAAGAAAGGGAACAAACAGAAAATAAATAGGGTGGTAGATCTAAACCCAGTGTACCAATAATTATATTAAATGTAAATAGTCTCAGCAATCCAATTAAAAAGAGATTGTGAGACTGGATTTTTTTTTTTTTTAGACAAGACTTAGCTATATGCTAGCTATAAGAAACCCACTCTGGAAGTATGAAGACACAGATTACAGGTTCTAGACTGGGGAAAGATATTATCAAGAAGCTATTCTTGATCGTTTTAATGTCTTAATATTATGATTCTTTAAATTTAGTTAATACCAATCCAGAAAATGAATACTATGAATTTTAAAGTGCAAAGTATTTTATAGCTAGTTTATTTCCCCAGAAAACTCTTGGGTAATGAACCCAGCGAACATTATTTTCCTTCCATATATTGCAGTTTTCATAAAAACTTCATGTATATATACTTGGAGTTTTACTGGTATTACCCTGTAGCTTGACATCATTAGCCTGTTATGTTTTATCATCCATTGACTTCTACTTGGGACAGTGCATTAAAAAATGTACTTGCCTATTCTAGATTGTGTTCAACTGTACATAATAGAAAATTTAACTTATAATGACTTAACCAAAGAAAGGTTTTATTTTTCTCATTTAATAAATACTTGAGTTTAGAAAGTCTGGGGCTGGCCCAGCAGCTTCATGATGCCATCTAGCACACAGCCTGCTTCTAGCTTTGTTTTTGAGATCAAACTCCCTAACCTCACAAAAATGGCGACATTGCAATAAAAATTGTGGCATATTTAAAAAAAAAAAAGCCATCCTTACTATGTGACTTTGTCTTTATGCTTATCTCTTTGTGTTAGTCATGTGTCCACTAAGCCTAAAGCCTTTCCTTTGTGCACAAGTAGAAAGAGGAGGAATAACAAGGCATAAAAATTGAGTTGACTTGCCTTGTGTGTCATGCTTTGGGGTTTCCTTTTTAAAAATTTTTAATTTTGAAATATTTTAAGAAAAGTTAAAACATTATATGAAAAATTTCCCTATATCCTCCACCCAGATTCCTCAAATGTTAACATTTTACCACATTTGCTATTATCATTCTCCTCCTGTATGTGTGTATTTGAACTGTTTAACAATCAGCTATAGATATGATGCCTTTTTATCCCTGAATACTTCAATGTGTATTTTTTAAAAACAATATTTTATTATATAACCACAGTAGAATTATCTGAATCAAGAAGTAACACTGATCCAATACTAATAGTTAATCTGAAGACTGTTCAGATTTTGCCATTTGTCCTAATAATGTTCTTTTTCAAAAAAGAAAGGAAATTTTTTTTGTTTAACATCCAGTCCAGGATCACGTGTTGCATTTAGTTGTATGTCTCTCTAGTCTCCTTTAATCTGGTACCTCAGTCTGTCTGACGTGATCTTGACAGTTTTGAAAAGTATAGATCAGTTATCTGTAAAATGTCCTTCACTTTGGGTTTGTCTAATACTTCTTCCTGGTTATATATTTGAGAGGAATACCACTGAAGTGATGTTAAATCCTGTCAGAAGGCTGTTAGTAGCTTGTCCACTTCTGGTAATGTTGCCTGTTTTCCTACTGTGAAGTTACTGTGTTTCCCTTTTATAATTAATATCTTGGTATTGACACTGTAAGTGTCTATTTCCCATTGCTTTTTGATCGACGTGTTATAGCAGCCATTGATGATCTTCATCTGAATCTACTGACTCCCTTTTACAGAACTTTTTTATAGATTCTATCCAGTAATGTCTGCATGTGTCTCCTTAACGAAAGCTGCCTGGAAGCTTGGAAATGTCATGTTTTTGATTGGGTGTGCTGCTGCTTCATACAAAAGACAGGGTGCAGTGGATACACAAAGCCACTAATATTTATTATTTCACTAATGAACTTAATATAAATAAAATGAGTATGAGGCATCTTAATCTCAGTAAGGCACCTTCCATCTTTTGTCTTACAGAGCTACTCCTTTTAACAGGAAGTCTTTGTATGCCCTGTCCACAGTTCCAGAGGGTGGGGAATGATCTGTAGGGAAGAAGGCAGTGAAAGGAAGCTGTAAGAGTATGAAAGACATACATTCTGTTTCTGCAGTCACGGGCGATTCTGCTTCCTTGATCTTTGACTGATGTGTAGTTTTGGGGTTGCTGCATTTTTAACAAGAATTATAGAAAACAACGTCGTAGAACACTGAGAAAACTTTTTCAGAAAGTCGTGTTCCATATCATGTTAGAATTGTTATGGGGGTTCCTGGCAAAAGGTATTTAAGGCTCTGATCATTCATTTCTAATAGAGAGGTCCTGAGAACAGAGAATAGGGGGAATGAGGAGTCTGTGATTTTCATGACAAAATCACCATGCTTTTTGTGTGTTGATTAGAAACATTTTTGGTATAAACATAGTGTATTTTGTTTAATTGTATGATTTTAATGTGGTTTATGTGAACATTATTTTTCTCACCTTCGTTTAGGAAGTTTATCGGAATTCTATGCCAGCTTCCAGTTTCCAGCAGCAGAAACTTCGAGTCTGTGAAGTCTGCTCTGCCTATTTAGGGCTTCATGATAATGACAGGCGGCTGGCTGATCATTTTGGGGGTAAACTGCACCTGGGATTTATTGAAATAAGAGAGAAGCTTGAAGAATTAAAGGTACATTGGCAAATTAAGGCCTCCCCCTTTGTCCAGTTTAGCCACTCATTCTTTTGATATGTGTAGGTTGTCTTTTTGTATAGTTGGGGGTTATTTGTATAGTGTTCTTAATTGTGATTCAGACTGTTCTTAACTGTGATTCTGTTAATAGTTAATATTGAATAGTGTAGGATTATAACCAGAAATACCAGCTTGTTTAATGGATGATATCTGGGAAACAGACTTTAAAGTACTTATTTCTCTTATTCTGGAAGGTAGTAATTTTGTCTTAGATATGATGTTGAATTAGGAGTCTTGCTAACTGGGTTCCAAAATAATTCATACAAGTCCCCTAAAATTTCCGATGATGTTTTCTTTTTAATAAAATCAGTAACATTGATGTAATAACATTTACTTTTAAGGGAGATTTTTTAAAAGCTCCAGCATTTATTTGGAGTATTTTGCAGTTCACTAAACAGCGTACTTGTGGTACCTCTAACTTTTTCTTCTGCCCCATTTCAGAAAGGGTTTATTTTTTTAAAAAGGACAGTCACTGTCACTTAAGTATGTAGGCTGTTGTGAAAAAGGCAACACAACTCTTACTCGTCTGCTGATTTCCTTTGAGAAGATGAGCAAACAAAAAAGAGGGAGGGTATTTCTAAGGAGGTAAACATAAGTAGACAGTGGATATGACCAGTTTACTTTTCAACAGTCTGATGTGGCTAGTTTTTTAAAAAGTTGTGGGACTGTAGTATTTTGTCATGAATGGAGGACTTGCTCAAAGATGGCAAACATTGGGTAGTGACTTTTTGTGTAGTTACCACTGAAATTAACCCAAGACCATAGTTTGATACTTAAAATAATGTGGAATCAAAATCACTTAGGGACATCTCCGTGTTTGTAGTTAACCGTGAGCTCTTCTCAGTATTCTGAGTACCTAGGGTGATCTTGGGTAAGTTTTTTGAAATGACAAGTTGAGTTTCACTATAGTGAATGGTTATTGAGCTCTAATTTAAAACTCAAAAAAATGGTAATTGGAAACCTTTGCAAATACAGACCTAGCAACAGAACTGTTTAGCATTTCACCGGTATCTTTAAAAGCAGCAGCATCAGGATTGTAAGTAGAAATTGACAGAAGACATTTCCATATTGGAAATCAGAGAGCTTGGAAACTTGTAGGGATTTATAATGATTGATGGTTTTTTAAAAAAATTCATTTTTATAGAATTTAGAAGACCTTAAGAGGAGAAAAGTCTTATAAGAGTGATTTTGAAATACTAAGAAGTCATGGAGAAATATGAAATTGTACATAAAAAGAAGGGGAGATTTTGGAAACTAGTCTTGTAAGCTTAATGATTATACCTGGCAAAACTTCAAATTTAATTGTTATTAAAAAGCTTTTGATATTAGATATGGTAAAGTTTAGGATAGTGCTCATTAAGAATGGGCTCGTACTTCTCCTCATTTATTATTATTTGAACTGTCATTGTTTTTTAAGAGAGTTGTAGCTGAGAAGCAGGAGAAAAGAAACCAAGAACGCCTGAAAAGAAGAGAAGAAAGGGAGAGAGAAGAAAGGGAGAAGCTGAGGAGGTATGGAGTAATTAACTGAGTAGTCCAAGTATCTGAGGTTGAATATCCCCAGTTCTGAAAAGAGATGTGATTGATACAAGATTTTAGATGTTAATAAATCTGGACATGGGAAATTTCTTTAAAATACTGACACATGAAATAATGTTTATTCAAGTATGTTAACTTATGGCCATTTAAGTCAAGTTAAGAAGATTTCCTTCAGAATGTGTGGAAGAGGGAGTAAAGAGTGTGTCGTATCTATGTGTTTAGTAAGATTTATAATAAGGCCCCTGTCTGGCCCTCTGATTTTCACAATGGGCTAGCTTTGTACCAGGGTGTGTAGAACTGTTTTATTGATATATTGTGTACTTGTTGATAAAAGGTTTGGGTGGTTATTTGTTTGTTTCATTGATTATTTTACATTGTACTTTGATTCTATATTTCTTCAATTTAGGAGCTATAAACTATTAAATTTTATTAAGTTAATCGCTAAATGTGAACAATTCTTTTTACATCGATTAGTTGATAAAATCATACGATTCTAATTTAGAATGTCTACGTGTTGAGTCACTTTTACCCTTTTGCAGCAAAATATTACGTAAAGCATTATATTTATAACTTCAACAATTTTCAGATGGATGAGTTTGCCATAAAAGATTTACCTGCAGTTCTAACTTACAGTGTTCCCTTAATTGTATTACACATCTCTGAAATTTAAATACTTTCTCTTCAGCCAGTGTTGTGCTTCAGTTAATTAAAACCCTGGATAATAATGTGACTAGGTCATGTCGACTTCCTCTAAGCTTTGAGCATGTTACATATACTCAGTCTATTTGAAGATGTTTAAACTGACTTCATTTGTTACATGGCTTGTAATCATTTTGCATTGTAATGACAAAAACAAAACAAAGTTACATATTGGACATGTTCCTGTTTAGAGGAAGTGCTATATTTTACTTCAGAGCTTTATCTCTTTTGTGTATACTAAGTTTCTGTGGGAATATTGCCCAGTATTGTAATGTGTTAGACAATATGAATGACATTAGAAATCTCAGTTTAAGTTAAAATTCAGCAGAATATAGTGCCACTAATATAAATGATTCAACTGAGGTAATAGTCAAATGAGAGAAAAAATTCTTTGCAGGACTGCATTTTCACATCTGTAGATGATGAGAAAGTACATCTTATCTTACTCTTTAATGCCAAGTGGCAGATTTCTTCTAACATTGATTATTATAAAATGTTAACACTGCTTCAGCAACATTTAAAACATTTTTTTAGTTTATGAACTTGAGGAGATACTGTGCCTAAGTATGGAAGATGAGGAAATTACAAGTGAGTACAGAATTACACACAAATGGGATTCCAACTATGGTAATGAACAATGATACAAATTACTGTCACTTACTGGATGCTGCTTATGTGCCCATTGTGCTAAGAATTTACCTATATTAATTCATCTAATACTTAGAACCCCCCTGTGAAATTTCTGTTACTGTCCCTCTTTTGCAAATGACAAACTGAAGGAAGATACATAATCTGCCCAGGCCACACAGATAGTGGTGGAAATGGTTACAGCTTGAATCAGGCTGAATCCAAAGCTGTGCTTCAACCATGCTACATATTCTCCACACACACATACAAAACCAATCCTGTGACTTCCTAGTAACCATAATATTAGCTGTTACTATTTATTGAGCTTTAATTGTGTGCTAGTAAGTGTAAAGATTGCTTTTTATATAAGAGTATCACGTGTCATAATAAGAAACATTGTACAATTGAGTCGTGTTCTAGGGATTACAGTACGAAGTGGTTAATTCCAAAGTATTAGCGTCTCAGCTTAGAAATTTTACTCTGTTCCCGGAGAAAAAGAAGAAATGACAAAGATACAAATAACAGAAGATTTTTTTCCGGATTGGGAAGTGGTTTTTGGAGAACTAGGGAGTTGTGCTGTATAGGAGTGTTAGTCTTCTAGGAGCGTATTCTTTTTTAAGAGCCCGGTATCCTAAACAGGTACGCCCAGGTCGGGAAGTCTGCAGAGTTTGTGGTACCTTTTGGAAAAATTCGTGTGTGCACATACACACCTTATATTTATAAAATTAATACAAAATTAGAAATGAGGAAGAATGTAATTAGCACATTGTACTTCTTCCTTATTTATAGTTACTTTTCTAAAAATAGATATTCTTTTTTTAGGTCTCGATCACATAGCAAGAATCCCAAAAGGTAGGTATTATACACAATAAGTTTAAGTGGTGAAGCTGTATTTTTCAAAGGTAGTTTTTATAGATTAAATGTCTTTTAAAAGTGAATGAGAATTAACAGACTAGTACTCTGAATTCTTTTGTAGTTCACACTTGCACAACATCATTTGAGAAGAAATTGGTCTGCAGATACTTATGGGCTACAATTTCGTTTTATCAGAGTAAAATCATATGCAGTGCCCTGGAGTTACAGAGAAAGCTAAAAATATTTCAGAATATTTCATTAAAATCTTCCTTAGAAGCTAAGAGTAAATATGTGACAGGATTTATTTTTTTTTAAATCAATTTGGATGATGCGTAAGAAACACATTCTAAGAGGTTGAAAATATAACTAGTTTAAATAGTTGGATACATTCTGAGTGAGGAATTCATGATGAGTTATTGAGGGAAACTAAAATGTTTAGTTTGTACCTGATACTGACTTTGACTTTACTGCTTCTCCCTTTTTACTAGTTTTTAGTAATTTTTTCCTGAGGTGGTAAGACGTGGTATTCTTTATCATTCTTAATTCGTGTGCCATTCTCATTTCTGTCCTTGAGCCTTTCTCATGGATCCATTCCTCCCCAGAATGCCCTTTCTCACTGTTTTCAGATCCTGCCATTCCTGTTTTTCAGATCACATCATCTTTTTGAAACCTTCTGAGTACCCTTGACTCTAAAAAGTAACTATTTCCCAAGAACTTTTTCCCTGTAAACTAGAGCATTTGTTGTTACGAAGGAAAAACTTTATGTTCTGTTACATGTCCCTTAATACTTTTTAGAGTCTTTCAGTGGTATTTCTGCTTAAAACACTAAAGACTAAGACATTAATAAACAGGATCAATTGTGTAAACTAATTTATATTGTTGTTTCTCAATCCAGGATGAGAAGTGGAAACATTACATGATGATACTGTTCTTTTTTACTGGTTGATTCATGCAAGCTGGTCCCTTTGTTGAAGACATATTTAACCCATTTGTACGTAGAACATCTTTAGATACTCATGCCAGAAATTTCATTTCTGCTACTCTGGGCCAAGCCGCTTATCACCTCACTATTCCAGTAGCCTCTTAACCAGTCTCTTAATTGTTTTTGCCTACTTCCCTTCTTCACCTCAGTCTGTTTTGTACACATCAGCCAGAATGATTTCTTTAAAAAGTGAAATAAGTTGTATCTGCCCTCTCCTCAAACCCTCCAGAGGTACTCTGTTCAGTCACAGGAGTTGAAATCCTCCCCATGGCTTTTAAGTAGAGTGATCCGTCTGCCCTCGGATACTTAGTTACAGTTTATTTTTTGTCTCAGCATATTTATTAATAGCTCCCCCTTTCCCTCTGAATATTTCAGTGTTAAGAACATCTTGGTTTGAATGACAAAGTACTTGGCCATCCTGCTTGATAGACTCCTGATGTTACCTGTCGTCCTTGTTTTATTACAGCCAGACAGGTCTCTTCTATTCCTTTGACAGGCTGAACTTTTTCCCACCTCAGGGCCTTTGCATCTTTATTTCCTTTACCTGAAGCAGTCTTCTCAGTTGGCTGATTAGCTCATTTCCTTACTTCATTTTGTCTTTGCTTAAATGCTGTTTTTAAAGAAAAGCCAAAAAAAAGAAAAGAGAAGAAAAGCCTTTCCTGCCTATTCTGTATAAAAAATGACCACTTCATTTCTCTTTCCATTTTTACCTTTCCTAATACATCATTTCTTTACTGCCTGACCTGTATTTATTTATTGCCTACATACCTGTATAGACCTCTTTCTGGAGTATAAGCTCCATGAAGTTAAGGACTTTGCTTTATTTGCTGCTCAGTCTCCCTAGTACCTCGAACAGTACAGTAGGTACCCAGTAAATGTTTTTGAATTAATGAATAGTCTAGGAATGAAATTATGCATTGGAAGAAATAGATTGATTGTAATAGGTCAAAATGAGTGATAAGTTACCATTTGATAAATCTTGTATTGAATGAATTGATACTCTCTTTTTCCTATTTCTTTTCAGAAATATTTTAAATTGTGGAAATACTCTGTTTAACTGTGGTTGATCCTAGGTCCACAATATGCTTTTCTTTGAAGCATTGTTGATATAAGCTGACTGTTCTTAAACTTCATTTAACAAAATAATCTTTTGAAAATAAACTCAATTTATAAATTATATCACCTGAATTAATGTGCTTTTAAACTTTAAAAAATGAGATGTTTTCTCATAATTTGACAAAGAGAATTAAAAATTTTTAAGAGCCTTACTGAGATTTATATACCCTAAGTTCACCTATTTTAACTGTGTAAGTCAATGCTTTTCAGTAAGTTCAAAGTTGCACAATTGACAAAATCCAGTTTAGAATGTTCTCATCGCTCTTAAAGAGGCCCTTAACAAAGTTCATAGCTTTCTTCCCCACTGTTTCTCTCCTCCGCATATGCCACCCCCACCCTCGCCACACACACTAGTTAGTTTTGTGACACAGTGAAGGCTACAGAAGTGTTTTTCCTTCTCTGTACTCCTGTGTACTTGTAAATACTTTTTTTTGGTAATTTAAGTTCTCTAAAATGACTCATACATGTTAAATTTTTTTCTCCCAAATAAATTATATACTACTTGAATAGGGAACTGTCTTAACTGTGTTTTGATTACACTGTGACTAGGCATATTGTGGGTGTTTAAACTTATTTTGGTGGTCATATAAGCTTTCTAATTCAGAGAGTAACTTACGCTAAATAATATTCTTCTCATGCGTCTCCTCCCTCCTGTCCATGTTCATCAGGTACAACACTTTGTTTCTAAAGTGTACTAAGAATCTTAGAAATTTAAATGAAATTAAGTTCATGAAGCAACTAGATAATCCTATCCCTGGCATGTAGTAGTGGTATAGATTATGTCTCTCACGTCTAAAAATATTCCTGATGTAAATTTATACAATACTGATTGACCTCTGAGAACTAGTATTTTATTTTTGTTTTGAATTTCTAGTATTTATTTAATATACTAGCGATTTATTTTAATATAGATTTAGCTGATTTGAAATAGAATCAGCATTTTAAGTAAAACTCCTGAGGGATGGCTTCTCTTAAAGAAGAGGCTTCAGTCAATGAGAAATGTAGTGCCAACAAAGCTAAGAACTAAATGAAATATTTTTTGTAGATCTCGGTCCAGAGAGCATCGCAGACATCGGTCTCGCTCCATGTCACGGGAACGGAAAAGGAGAACTCGATCCAAATCTCGGGAGAAACGCCATCGCCACAGATCCCGCTCCAGCAGCCGTAGTCGCAGCCGCAGCCACCAAAGAAGTGGGCACAGTTCTAGAGACAGGAGCAGAGAGCGATCCAGGAGGAGGTACTGAGGTCCATAGGAGGATGTGGAACTACCTTTGTGGTTTAGACTTGGAATACTAGTGGTTTGAACTTGCATCTGGTAACTTGTACACATTTATGTGTGTATAACTTTTTTCCCCTGATTATATGGGTAGTTCAGAAAGAATATGCTTATGAGCCAGAGTAAGAAATTGGAACCAATATGTTCAGAGGTTATTGCTTTTCTACACTTAGTGTGTCTTGGGAAAAAAGTACTTTATGGGCAAATAATTTTAGGTACCAGTATTTGTTAGAGCTTTTTCAGTATGTATTGGCAAATTAAGGGCTCTGAGAAGTCCCTTCAGTAAAACTGGTTTACCTTTGTTTGACTTTTTGTTTTCCAAACTTAATTTTTCAAAGCAGACACATTCTAGTATATTCTTGTTTAATCTGCACTATAGGTGTGCATGTTATATACAGTTAGCTTGGCAGTGCAGATTCAGAATTATAAGGAAGTTAGACTTCATTAGCATGGAAAAGGTGCAAGGAGGGCAGACCCAGGGTGAAGCATGTTTAAGGACTTGAATTAAGGGCAGAGGACTAGAATGTGGCACGGAGCCTTGGCACTCTCAGTCTGTATAGACCAAGCTCCCAAACTTCTCAGGTCACACAATGGCCCTTAGGAGCCAGGTCATTTCTATGGAACATAAAACATTTTTTGAGTCCCTAGTACCTAGTAATCTTAAATTTTCTATGGGTATATTCCACATGAAGCCCATGATAGATTTTTAACAGCTTTCTGCAGATTTTTTTTTTTTTGACCCTCAACTAGCCATTCCCTGAAACCACTCAAAAACTGAGTTGGATGTAATAGGCTCTTTGTTGTATTCTTGCCTTGATCCAAGTAGCATAGTGAGGTATAATTTATAAAACTATAAGACATTTCAAGTGTTCATCATGATTTGATACACATATACATTGTGAAAGGATTCCACACATCTAGTTAGTTAACATATCCATTACCTCACATGTATTTTTTGGTGAGAACATTTAAGTTCTGCTCTCTAAGCAAACCAAGTAGTTCTTAAGGTGACTTTAAGTCATTAATAATTATATATTTTCTACTGTACTAGGCTTAGTTAAAAAAAATAAATATAATGTAGTTGAGCAACTTTATTCGAGTTAAGACATAGGACTAACATCTTTGACAGTAATCAGACTGACCTACAAAGAGCTAACCTGTATATATGGCACAGACTAAATAATGTAGGAGCTTAGATGAGGGAAATAGAGTAATTTAAAAAAATGGCTTCAGGGGAGTAGATAAAACCTAAATAAAGTGGGTATAATCTGAGTAGGTTAAGTCAGATAGGAAAAATATTCTAGGCAAATGCAGAGAATGAGCAGGGAATTTATAAGGGACAGGGTTCCTTGTAGTGTGATTTTAGGCCAGTTATCTCACATTCTTAAAACTGCAGGCACACAGTCCAGTGCCCAGAAATATACATTTTTAAAAGTTCTCATGAATCTTACCTGTACTGTAAATTTTGAGAATCAGCTTGCTGGTTGATAGAAGACAGTTTCTCTTGTCTACTTGCCCACCTGTCAGTTGTTTCTGGTGGTGAGAATGGAGTCTCATCTGGGACTGTGTTAGCCTAGTCCCTGGTGCTTCCTCCATTTATGAAGTTGTACAGGAAAATTTCCATCATACTACCTGACACCCCTAATCTAATATTTTCAGCATGTTCATAAAGATTATTTTTGCAAAACTTAAAGTTTTGCTTTTCTCAAGAGCACTTCTAATCTTGATACTCAAATTATTCTTTCAAAGCAACTTTATTTTTTGCCAAAAATTAGCAGACAGTTGCTATTAAAATCTATCATGTTACTACATAAACGAGGACATCAAGTTACTGCTACATAGTATTTGAGTTTAAATTTCAAGGTAAAAGTTCCAGTTAAAGGGCTTTTATAAATTTGCTCTTCTCCTGCTCCAGCTGGTCTCTGATACAATAGTCTGTGCCCTTTCCTGCCAACAGTTACCCTTGGTAAATAAGGATTGTTTGCATTTTTTGCTGGCCTGCTCTGTTCAGATACATACAATGCAGACTAGAGTCAGACTGCTTGGATTAAAGTGGCCTTGGCCAAATGATCTAATTACCCCTCTTGTCTTTCCTTATCTACTTAGTAAAAGAGTGCCTGCTTTATCAGGATTATTGGTAGTTTGAGTGAAATATTGAGTGAAAACAGCTTCTGTCTAGGTCATTATAATCTCTGGCAAAACAGTTGATACTCATCTCATGGTTTTTGTTACTACCAATCCTGGGACTTACCACCAACGCGTGTCCTTAATCTTAGGCATCGTCTCAATCATCTCTCTTCGTATTCCATTCCTGCAAAGACTGTGGAGCAGGATGTGCACTGTGTGATTCAACACAGTTTTAAGTTAAGCTTATTTAAAACCTTAAGTAGAATGCTCAGTCTTTTTGGTTTAATCTTCCTTAACTATATTTCTAAAACTGGGTAGTATAGTAGTATTTTTTTCCTGACTTAGAAGTTGGAAGTATTATTTAATCAGGCCTCAGATCCTAATTCTGAACATGGGTTAAAGTGAGATAATTTTGTACAAGTATCATGTATGTGTAAAGAACCAAATAAATGTAATATGTTACTGATTCATTCTAGATGTTGAAGGAATTCTGATCCCCCAATGTGCTTTGATTTTCCTTCTGATTGAATCTCTGGTATAAGCTTGCTATTATTTACCTTTCTTGTTGAGTTGGGTATGAGAATGGAGAGGCAGTATTAAGAATCAAGTTGTGGTTAGTCAAGATTTATTATAGTGTGATCACCATTCTGTCTACTATTCTGGTTTTTTTCTCTTGGTTGAATGAGCTAACTCAGGAGGCATAAAGTAATGTTTTATAGTAATAAACGGTTACTTAAAGCCATATCATTGACTAGTTCTCTTACCTAAGTGTTGGCAAACTGTTGCCTGCAAGCCAGATCTGGCCCCATAGTCTTTTTTTGGATATATCCAGTGAGCTATGGATGATGGTTTTTACATTACTAAGGGGTTGATGAAAAAGAAGAATATACCAGACTTTGCAACACCTACAACATTTAGGTCTCTGGCCAGACAGCAAAGAAAAAATGGTTCCTGTAGCATCCTAGGCCATTGATTGCCATCCATTCTATTACATATTTTTTAAAAACCAGATAACATCTTCTTAAAGGTATTATTTTTACATTAAATATATTTGCTATGAACTAGAGAAGCTTTAGGATTGCCTCTGAGATAATGAGAATGACCTATAAGTCAGTACCCTTAGCAGATACAGTAGTCCTCTTTTTCTGTCAGAAAACTGACTCCTCGGTCTTTCTTGGATGTATTCTGTATATCTTCAGCTAATCAGTACCTTAATATTTATCCGATTCATTTGGATTTTGGGTTTCCCAACACATTTTGCTCCTCAAATTAATATTTTTCAGATCCTCAAAAGAAAGATTCAGAGACCAAGACTTAGCATCACGTGACAGAGACAGGAATTCAAGAGACAGATCACCTCGTGACAGAGATCGAAAAGATAAGAAGCGGTCCTATGAGAGCGCTAATGGCAGATCAGAAGACAGGAGGAGCTCTGAAGAGCGCGAAGCAGGGGAGATATAATTAGTTGTGTACATATCCTCAGTCCTTAAGCTTCCTCTGGAGTTACATACTATTGTTTAGTTTACAGCTGTTCGGGGTTGACACAGTGAGCAGTTCCAGACACCGATCCAGCTAGGCTAGGTGTACAGTATCTAACTTGATCTGAGCTTGTTTTCTTTGGTGAAGCCTAAAGCTACATCCATAGTTTCTGGTGAACCTGCAATTCTAAAAAGTACAGTTTTATACAATAAGACACCGATGTCTTTATTCTTTCTAGTAGGAGTTGATAGTGAAATGAATTGTGTTACTTGCCTTGGGATTTTTTTGAATATTTGTAAAATGCTTCCTTTCTAGTCCAAACAACAGCAACATTGGGAATTTCTTTTTAATCCTTTCTCTGACTCTGTATCCTCCTGATGCCTCTACCCTCTAATTAATTATAAGAGAAAGGGGTGCAGGGAAGCAATATAACTTCTGTTCTAAGGTTCTGTTCCCATTATTACTAGCTGATTACAGTTCAGAACATTTATACTGGAATGTATGCTGGAGAAATTTAAAATACTAGGAGTTTTGTTTGTCTAATGGTGCCTATTTTAGAGTGGGGAGTTGAACAGCTGTTGCATTACATATTTGCTTTTTTATTGAAATTTTGAAATCAAACGTCTTGATTTTTCTGTTCTATTGAATTGCTATGTTCAGGTTTTGAGAAGGGGGTGGGGGCAGGGACTTTCATAAGCACTTCTTGTTTTATTTTGTGTGTGTGAAATATAAAGACTACACCCTTATTGTAAAAAGTAATAAAATGAAAGAATCACCACCATCATTAGACTGTAACTTGTCTAGTAAGTTGTCTCTAGAACTATTTGCTGTGGCCATTTCTATTCTGTTGTATCATTAATAGTGCCTTACTGTGCAAGGCACCAAAGGAAAGAAACATACACTTGCAAAGATTCAAGATGAACTGTCATGCCACCTGGGCTCTTGCTGAACTATATTCCAGCTTCTCCAGGTCTGTCTGTAACACCTGCCGTAGAGAAGGACCAGACCTGCAGAAGAAACTGGGTATTCATTTGTTTTGTTTTTCTTCTCATTCAGCAAACAAATAAAAACATGGTGTAACCAATGTAATGAGACTAACAATTTCTGCATTGAAAAGATTTAAATAGTAGTTTCTTGTGATTCTAGAAAAGCAACAAATGTGAGTATAGCTAACCAAGATCCTTTCAAGAACTATTTCTGTCTTTGGTGCCCTAAGTATGAAAAATCTGATGTAACAGGAATGTGGGCCTCAGAAAGGGAAACTTATGCTAAGTGACATGAGATTTATGGCTAAAAGGGACACTCCTCAAGTTCCCAGCTTACCAAGTTGTGACTCATTAAATGAAGCTTTTCTGCCATGTTTGGTTCTGCACCTTCAGTTCATACAGAGTTTGAGACCCATCTGCATCACTGGCCCATTCCCTTCTCAGAAATTGTTTTGTACCTACTTTGTTTCTGGTGTTCTGCACTGTTCTCTTAAATCCTTACTTTAGACTTAGTATCTTAAGGTGTAGCGTGAGATCAGAAAGGAAGGCAGACTGTCTGGAACCTGACCTGTTACAATGATAAATGTGGAGTTAAATACCAGATGCCACAACATGATTGAAAAATGTTATGGGATTACGTTTGTATAATTGGAACTTAACATTCATACGATTAGGGAGAGAACAAGTATCACTGGGCGTTACTACAGCTATGATATGTTGGCAGTACAGGCTGCCTGGCCACTAACAAAACGGTCAGCAACAGCCAGTGAAGGATGTCGCCATCGTCCAGGGCTGGGCACGATGGTGGATCGCCTTGCCTCAGGTGCATTTGAGTCTGCTTTCAACAGCAGCCCTTTGAGCCAGCCCAGCATGCATTAGAGTTGTCATTCAGTGTAGGAATTTGTCACTCATTGTGGTAAACGTGTTAATTTGTCCTTCTATGTGGTACCTTTCAAAAGAGTATTGTTTTAGGTAATGGCCCATCTTCATTATGCAGGTTTTTATAGATAAATGTTGATGACAGTTTAAAAATCAAATATAGGACTTAACAAAAAATACCCAAGTAAGTATCACATAGCTTAAAAAAGTATACACAGTATACACATTTAAGGTGGATAGTCAGCTGCTAAGTACTAGTATTGCTTACAGATTGTTAAACCATTGAAACATCTCCATCAGTTAGTAACTAGCTGCTACCTTAAGTGCCTTCCCCCGAAAACCATCCTCTCATCTCTCAACACTGAGGTCTGGCACAACTGAGAATCTTCAGAAACTTGATCCACCATAAACATGCTATACTGATAAGTATTTTGAAAAAAATCCTTGTCTATTTTTCCTACCTGGAAAAAAGCTGTTTATGTCCATGATTTTGTTATACCCTGACTACTGGTATTTAGATTTTCCCAGGGTATAAATAAGGCAATACAAAGTTCTCTCTTTCCATTACCTGTTGCATTTGGGGTGAGGGGGAGTCCCAGCTTCATCAGAGTTAAGAAACACAGGAGAGGGCTGAGAACAGGATCTTGACGGCACAAAGCTGACCAGGGGGACCAGGCATGGGACTACCAGAAGAGTGGGGCTGGGGCCCCAGGTGAGCAGGGCTTTGTGTGGGGTACTGGGGCCAGCAGGTGTTTCTGGACTGTGACATATGCCTGCATGTTCTCCAAGTACCAGCAAAAACTAGGATGTCTGAGGTTCTGGGTCTACAAGCACACCTAGGGTCAGACCAAACTCATGGCTCCAGAGTAACATTTAGGCTGAAAGCAAGGCATTCCAACTCAGAACTGGGCTCTCAGTCAAGGATCCAGCAAGGGGGAAAAGCCAGCACCAGAACCTGTTCTAATACTGCTTTTGGAGAGGCTCCTAGGGTCCCAAATGCAATGCACACCACTAGCTAGGTAATGTTGGCTGCCTGTAACAGAAGCTCCAACTCCAGGGTCTGTTGGTTCGCATGATTCAGTTCCACGTGACAGCTCCATTCTCAGCACTGAACCAGATATCCAGATGAAGATACCAAACCAGGTTTGTCTTGCCTGATGCACAGCATACCAAATTGCTGAGACTCCAAGATTTGAGGCAAAGAGGGCTTTGTCACAAGGGAGCCAAGCAAGGAGACAGGAGAACAAATCTCAAACCTGCTTCCTCAAAGGTGAGGGGCTTGGGATATTTATGGGATGGTGAATAAAAAAGCAGGGTGGTGTAAGATTGGGGGGGGGCACATCTGCGCAGGTATAACTAAGCTACTGTCCTCTGCGTGTTGGAAAGGCCACCGAGCCAGCAGACACCCAGGCATGCCTAGCTGGAGGGTGGGTGGCCCCATCCGGCCTTAACCCACTCAGCTGAACTCGATGCACCTGAGACTCCAAGTTCCTGGGACATAACTTGGTCCAACATCTTACCGTTCAAGCTTTGTGCTCCTTAGAGGACGTGCAAGTGTTGAGATAGCCTTGCTCAGTGAAGGTGGGTGAAATGGATTTGACTGATCACCACATAGTTTCACTCCTCTGCATCTTTTGATCATTCCTCAATCTCGAGGGAGGAGGGCGATGCCCACTCTGGGTACTTCCTGCTGATAAGGGGCATAGACCCAACAAGGACCAGAGTAATGAAACTGTTTAGCATTCATTTGAAAATACTCTCTTGTTCCTGATTTCAAGTTAACATTTTGATCCCAACAAACAAGTAGCACCTATGTGCCAGCTGTCACAGCATTCATAGGCCCACTGTTGATCATCGAAACCAGGGATGTACCTTGAGGGAGCACACTGCATGCCAGATGTATTGATAAAATTCACACGTCAAGTTGGGGATCAGCATCTCACCTATACATCTTAGAGTGTCTCAGCTGTAACCAGTTTGGCCGAAACACTTAGATATTAAATACAGAAGGGACACAGGCTGGGAAAAATAAATGCGGTTTATACAATATACTGACCAAGTAAACCCTTGATGGGGTAGTCACTAAGTTTAGTCAAAACAACAGGGGACAGGAAATTCTGTTGATTAGCGTAACTCGATGTTAACATCTGAGGGCTTTTTATCCTAAGTCACAGTGAAGTTAGCAGTGGTTGAAAAATTCAGGAGGAAGGGGGATGCCAAGCTGGCGAAGTAGAAGGACGCTCTTAGCTCATCTCCCATGAACGCACCAAAAGAGACATCCATGGACCCACTCATTCACTCAGAACACCTGCTGAACTTTGCGCCTACTTCATAAGACAAAATTCCTCACAAAATCTGGTAGGAGAAAAAAAAAGGAAAAAAGGAAATTAGTGCAGACTTGTCCCATGGGGAGGGAGTGGCAAAGGAGGAATAGCACTGTTACACTGGGATGCCCCCTCCAACAGAGAGGTCAGTGGGGACCAAGGCGGAGCCTCTGAGGTTGAAGAGTACATAGCAACTGCTCACAGAACTGAGAGAAACCGGCACATAGGGTCCCTGTGATCCCCAGCCCTACACTCGAGCTGGCAGGGCTGGGCTGGGACTGGCTGCCCGAACCAGGCAGAGGGCTGGGGATGACTGCCCAGAGGCAGCCGCTGGGCGGGAGTGTGCTGTGTGCCGTGGCTGGGAGTGTATACAGAACAGAATAGCCTGAGTCCCCCATAGAACAAGCAACACTGCTGGTGCACATAGGCAAGAGGGGTGCGATGCAGCTGGGCCGTAGCCACCTTCTCTGCAGGCCTGCGGCACCATTGCTGGCTCATTCTCATGAGAAGAGAGGCGAGGCTCAGCCACAGCCACCGTGTTCGCTGGTGCATGGCTCATGAGCGGAGGTGGGGCTGAAGCCTGAATCCATACCTGGGGGTCCACAAATTCATAGGCGGGACTGAGATTTGTTTACAGCCCCAGGAAGAGGGAACCAGTTTGCTCTGCAGGTACTTTGTGGACCCATGCCTCAGACCAATGAGCAAGGAGCAGAGTTCCGGCACACAGTGGCTGCGGGGCGGTGCGGGAGCAGCATTTTCAGTGGACCTGCTTACCATATGTGGACGTGGTGCTGTGGACGGTGCTAGCCCCACAGCACACCACAATCTAGGTGTGTGACTCAGATGTCAACGGATCTGCACTGGTAGCTCTGAAGGCAGAAGACCTGGGAACACCAGAGCAGAGTACTGCCATTCCCACAGCTAAAGTGGGGACAGGGTCAGTGTCAACAAAGAGTACTTGAAGCACTCCAACCCCACCTACCACGCACCGCAGCACAGAAACAGGTCTGGAAGCCTCCATTCCAACAAAAGGGGAACAGGCCTGGTCCCTGTAAGGGCTGTGACACCCACAGAACAAAAAGGAGGCCCTGCCCAACAACCAGGGTAGGCTCTGATCACCGTAACACTGGTCACAGCCCCAGTCAAAGCCAATACACAAGGAAGAAAGACTTGGCAACCATCCAAGCTAAAAACAGACTTTGCAACAAAACTATTAGAAGGACACAGTCTACGCAGGAATGCATCCTCTTTTTAAAAAAACAAAACAGCCCTTCAAGACCACAGGAGATAATTGATACTGCATAATCCATAGTGCCAGAGAGATAAGTAAAATGAAGAAGCAGAGGAACTACTCCCAGTGAAAAGAACAAGTCCCCTGAAAGGACGATCAATGAAACAGACCTCAGTAGTCTACTAGATCATGACTTCAAAAAGGGGATGATAAAAGCGCTGAAGGAAATGAGAGACTATGACTAAATATTTAGAATATTACAAAAAAGAAATCGGAAATATAAAGAGGAGCCAATTAAAAATAGAAAACACAATGGCTGAGATAAGAGCCAAGCTAAAGGCAGTCAAAAGCAAATTAGATAATGCAGAGGGACGAATAAGTGGCTTAGAAGACAGAATAACAGAAGTCACCCAAGCAGAACAGCAAATAGAAAAGCAAGTGAAACCTAATGAAAGCAACATAAGGGACATATGGGATGATATAAAGCATGCCAGTCTACACACAATATGGGTCCCAGAAGGAAAAGAAAGAGAAAAGGGGATTGAAAAGGTATTTGAAGAAGTCACGACTGAAAACTTCCCAAACCTAAAGAAGGAATCAGATATCCAAGTACAGGAGGCACAGAGGGTCCCAAACAAGAACGCAAATAGACCTAGACCAAGACATAAT